TATATATATATATATATATATATATATATATATATATATATATATATATATATATATATATATATATATATATATATATATATATATATATATATATTATATATATATATACATATATATATATATATATATATATATATATATATAGCATAACAAGTGGAGAAAGATGTAAATGTATATAAGGTTGTAAGATTTAGAAGATTTTCCAAAAGATTTTTAGTTTTATTTAATTATTTGGTTACGATCTCGTCACTTGTGTAAAAATATATAAATTTCTATAATATTTACGTATAGCGAGTGACATATTTATGAAAATAATAAATAATCTAATCTAAGCGAAGGCTTATTGAATTTATCTTCTCTTAAGTTTAAACATATACAAATAGAGATTTCAAATCCATCATCTTGAGGAAACTTTATCGGTACTTTAAGTTGCTATATAGTTCTCGAATAACGTTTTTTTAGGTCAGTATTTAAAAATTAAAACATAGGAAGGTGGATTATTTTCCTTGCAGACAGTAACCAATGTGAATAAGTACATGTCTATATCAATTGTATCTATACTGGGTCTTTTGATACATAGTTTTTGACTATTTTTTGCATTCGCTTTTGGTTGTGTAAGTATACGTAAAAAAATTTCAGCTGATCGCCATTTATATCCTCCTAAGGGTGTATTTAATCTGGGTTGATCTAACACCCACTTCATCTAACAAATAAATTTTTCACGACCACCCATGGTAGAAGAATATAGGTAGATGCATCAACGCTTGGGAACATTGATATGACAAAAATTTTTAAATGTTTTATCAAAAATAAGTAGATTGTTAAATGTTAAATGTACGACGCCAATAGGAGGTTATACGAATTTTTAACATTTTTTACAAATTTCAATAATTTTTCGTTCAACATTTTCAATTCCAAAATCAGTTTGACAGTTCATTGTCCCAGCAGCTGTGTCGATGCGACTACCTGTATTCTTTTACCATGCGACCATCTGAGTTATATCATTAAATGTTTTAACTCTAGATCGTTATTAGAGGTCCCTGGTACGCATGCATGCAGATATTTGAAGGAATTTGTTACTTACAAGATAGATCTACTAGGTAGTCGCATCACCTCAGCTGACGGCACCTTCAAATGTCAAAACAAGTTGTTGTTATACAGAATTCGCCCTAAATTAATACAACACAAAAACAAAGTTTGTTTATGTCTTCGTCACTATAGGTATCTTTTCTAATATTTCAACATTTAAGAGCAAGTTTAGAGTGAAGTACTGGTAAAAACCACCAAGTGGCTACTAGCTGGATTGCTGGATATTCTTAAAGGGCTTTTACTGGTGGCGATATTGGTGCTATGTTCATTCTTTAAAACCATTTGATCGGGAACACTTGCTACAGTTGAGTCATGTGCTGGAGTAGGTGTAACCTCCGGTTACCAACATTGGCTGGAATATTAGTGGTATTTGTTGATGACGTAGAAGATATTACAGTTGTGAGCTTGTATAAACATTTCGGGGGCTAACTATCGACTTGGGGCTGTTGCAATGGTCCCCGAGTGTCGTATAATAACTTGGCATAAAGTGTAAACAAACACCTTGTTTCAGATTGGTTGAAACAAATTTGCCGCAAACTTTAAATGTCATGGCCAAGGTAGATGTACTAGGTAATCGCATCAACCCAGCTGACGGCACCATTAAATGTCAAAACAAATTGTTGTAATGAAGAATTCGCCTTAAATGAATGCAACAACAAATTTGTTTATGTTGTCTTCCCTAAAAGTACCTTTTTATAATATTTCAAATAATTTAAGAGCAAGTAAAGAGTGAAACCAGTAAAAAAAATTAAAAGAAAATGAAGGAAGGAGGTTAGAATGGAGTGCAGCTTTAAGAATTAAGTTAGCCTCAACATCTAAGATTCCCAAAGCACATCACGGGGAGTAGTGCAAGAATTCGACTCTTGTCATTTGCAGTTCCGGAAAACTTTCGGTTTAAACCAGTAAAATGTAGTCATTATAAGTTTCTTGGTTTAAAAAATATCGCAATACTACAATTAATACTTATTTTACTCTTATTTGTTTTACAATAAAAATTTTTATTGCGACGTTCGTTTACGACGAGAGGCACACAAAATAAAATGTAAACAAACACCTCGTTTCTGATTGGTTGAAACAAATTTGCCGCAACTTTTAAATGTTATGGCGAATCTATGTTTTTCGCCTTAGATGCCAATTTTGACATTTGTGGGGACCACAAAAGTTGCTTTGTTGTAGCAATTCGCTGATGCGGTTACCTGTTAGATCTACCTTGGTCATGGCGAATGTAGGTTTTTCGCCTTAGATGGCAATTTTGACATTTGAGGGTACCAAAAAAGTTGCTTTGTTGCAGCAATTCGCCGGTTACATGTTAAATCTACCTTGGTTACTTAGTTGCCAGAGAGCTGCAATTAGTAAATTGAGTAGGCTTGATCACACTTATTGGAATTACAATCAAACTCAATCAGGCGATCAGATGTAACATGATTTTTCGAGTTGCTCAAGCGAAACGAAAAAGTTGTAAGCAAACATGAATTGAATGAGTGACTTTTTACGAACTAATGTTGAATTGTTCATAACAGGGTTACGTTTGTTATTATTAGCGTTTGACTAACGAGGTGTTGGTAAATTTTACAATCTCTTCACATTTTGAAAAAATTCTCTACTGCGATGAATAAAAAAAGCTGTTTTGTTTAAATTAAAAAAAATCTGTTTGCTTTTTACTTATTGTAATAGGCTTGTATACTTATGAAACAAGTAATTATAAAAAAATATCTTTTGTGAAATGAAGAGGGGTAAAATTTACGACCACGTCATAAAATACGTCCCAAAATTTCACCACGACAGTCAAAGGTTAATGATCTACAAATCTACAAACAACATTATAGACCCTCTTTTGATTGTTGGAAACTCTTCTCGATATATTTTCTGCACTTTTACTCCCAAAGTTGCTGCAAAATAAAATTTTTATACTCGCTTATTCGTACAATGAAAATTTACAATAAAAGTATTGTACAACTATAAAAGACATCAATACAAAACTTATCTAACGAAAAAGTATCGTTTTCAACGAATTTCTGGCCAAAATACCTGATTTGTGTAAGTTTGTTAACAATTTTTTTAGAATGTGTAAATTAATTGTGACACTCTGTATACAAGTCGTCCAGGGAGTGATTTGAATTGAATTGTTAAAAAGCAGTGTTAGCTCATGAAATGATGTTTTTGGAATTGAATAGGTTCCTTTTTCGCAGTCCTTTTTGGGTTTCTGGCCAGAAACAGACGGTGACAGAAAAGTTCTCAAATCAGAATGATAAAGAAGAAAATTCTTTTTCGTCTTTTTTAAAATTATCGACCACCAACATTTGCTGTGGTCCTGAAATGCAAGATTGTACAGTTTTTTACTATGATAACCGATTTTCCTTCATTATATCGAAAAAAAATTGTAATACTAGAAGGTTTTGGCAAGTTTTGGAATAGAGCAATTATCTCTTATTGTAAATCTGTTCCAGAACTGCACTAATGTAAAGTCTGTTATGTGTTCATAACAAATTGAAGGCATTATCACATCCACTAATAAATCGTCGGAGATTAATGAGTGAATGAATTTAACAATTAATAGTGAATAGAAGATACATTTATCATAAATTTCGTAGTACAATCATTTCAAGGTAACCTCATTTATCCAGCTCTGAATTTTCTGTAATATACCTTGCAAAATATAACAAATTTGTGAATATGGGCTTATGTTTATATTTAAACCATGATGTGTATTTGAATTTGATCGTACAAAGTTACCTTGATAATTTTACTAAATCTTACTCAATACAGAATAAACAATTACTAGTTTCATTTTTAATTTTATTTTCCGCCTATATATTTCTCAAAAAAAAGTAAATATATTTTAAACACATTTGACTCTCATGAAATATAATATTCTTAAATATTTTAAAGAAGTAGTAAAACCCGACGATCCAAAACATGTGTAAGAATATTATATTAAAACAAGTGATATTTTATAACAAATGTAATTAGTTACCATCCAATAATTTGTTGTAATTTCTGACTAGGACATTTTTCACATATACTTTTTTTGGTGAAAAGTTTATCTTCTTAAGACGAAGTTCATTCGTGAATATATATTTTATAATTTCTCTTTCAAGTTGAGCTATTAATGACCTAAGGAAAAATTGAAAATTGGAATCGAGCAAATTCCCATTCCTTTCACCATTGGATAAGCTGCTCACCAGACAAATTAGATGCATTTTTTAGTAGCTAGACGAAGACCATTTTGAAAAGTTACATTTGGTATTTTAATTGTTTCAAACCTTGTTTCTGATTAGTAGTTGAACGAAAACTGTCTGAGAGTTCATGGTTCAAAATTATACCTGTATGAAAATCTTAACTCATAAATCCATTGTATAAACACAAATCAGAGATGGGCGAAAAGATAAATAAAAGAAAATTCAGATCTGAGTACCTTTATTTGCAGTAGCATAAAACGCTAAAAACTGCACAATTTCTTTTGGTACCTAAAATAAAAAAAAATTGTCTATGGCAGCATGTTTAACATTCTTCAAAAATTACAGTCGATATACAAACGTACTTTTGGGAATTGGACGCCCCTTTTTATACACTCTACCATTGTATGGAGGGTATTAATTTTTTCTTTTCGCTTGTAACTCCTCGAAATACTGATATTAGACCCTAAGAAACATTTGGATTATAATAGCGACATTATGCACCGGAATTGTTTTAAATTTCATATTTGAAGTTCGGAAACGGCACTACAACCTACGGGAGAAAATTACTTATGCAGATCCACGTCTTCGTAAAGCTCCTATATAACGGTTTTCATTTAAGTTCTAGTTCTTTCCAAAGGGGGTTTGGCCCGGCCGAACTAACCTGCATTTTTACTTGTTAACTATTTCTGTTATCTTGAAATATGTTTGTTATATGAATCATTTTTACAGATTCCGGCAGTGATTTCGGAGGGTACAACTATTCACCACCCAATGATATTCAATATTTGCCTCCATCAACACCAGCTCCCGTTTACGGTCCACCAGCACCAATTTATGGCCCACCAGCTCCAGTTTATGGTCCTCCACAGACAAATTTTTATAAACCACTCCAATTTCCACATCATCCTCGAGACCAGTTCACACTGCTAGAAAAATTGAAAACAAAAGTAAATTTATTTACTATTGGGAAAATAATCTTGAAGTTACTAATCTTCAAAAAGATTATTAAATTTATTGGCGTTATTTGTCTTCTGTTGTTCCTGCCGAAATTAAAAGGATTAATTAAAGATGACATGGCTATGGATGAGGATAGTACCGAGAGTAAACAAGTAGAAACTGATAACAGTAAGGCCCAATAGTAAACTATGTGTCTAAAAACCTACTAATTACATTTTATTTTTAGATGCTTTGGAAAAGCGCATTGATGATATTTACGAATTTGCATTGAATGCTATTAATAATTTTCCAGACAATATAAAATTCGATATTTAAATTAACTTATTGATATTAATTTACCTATTTATTTAGTTATACAAAATTAAAGACAATTTGAAGTTTTTCAAATCAGTATTAATGAAAAATTATATGCACATGTATTTTTGTTTTCATGGGTCTTTAATGCAGAAGTTGCTGCAAAATGGCTGCTTTGAGAAAATCTATTTTTTGTGGTAAATTTGTGTGACTAAGTCCGAACTAAATTGAAGCGCGGTTTGTTTGTGTAGACTATAGCACGTTTCTATTGATTTTCGAAAATGTTATTCGCTCTCAGAATGACGTACGTGAGTGACACGACACCGTTCATAAATTATATTATAATGTTTTATGAATTCTTACTTTTTGTTTCGTGGTTTTTATGGAAATTGAAGTCAAAATATAGTATGATATAAAATGAATAGAAAATATAATTGCCTGCATCAAATCGTAAATTTTTCTTTAGTGATATGTTCCAGAACCAGCAAGAATCCTCTCAAACTCGTCGACAAAACAATCTTTATCGTTAGTTAAGCTTTACATTGCTATTTTTTACAAGAACTTTTATTTTAAATTGTTGTATCGTTAAAAATAGGGTGCCGGTCGTAGCGGGTCTAAACAATAATTTTGGAGCAGTATTCCAAATACAATACGGTAACCATGGCAAAACAAAAGTGGTAGACTCATTTGTTAATATATATATAAAACTAGCTGGCCCGGTCCGCGTTGACGGCACGTACTTTTAGTCTTTAATGAATACTTTTTAAAGCATAATAAATCATAGATCTGACTTATATAAGTGGTTCTAAATGTAAATAAATATTCATGGCATAAATTATAATAGATATTCACCTGTCGTCAGTTCCAAATATTTTGAATAACCTGATCTTATTTTTCATCCATAGGCTTTAATTTAATTGTTAAAAAGCTATATGATTTAGAACATCTATAATAGCCTCAGATAAAAACCCAGCTCAATTTTTGGTATTGTAAAGAGCTTAGAAACATTTTCCATCTAAATTAGCTATAATTAGGAATTTGTAATTCCAACGTTTAGAATGTCGTGCTGCGTGGTACTAAGTATTGTCCACCCCATAATTAGGGGCAGAGTGACCTCAGAATAGCCAAAGAAAATTACTCTTTTACACCCATTACGGTAACAATGTAATTAATTTTTTTGTCATTTAAATTGTGCGGTGGAGTCCACATTTTTCATCACAGTATAATTCAATGACTATTAAAGAAATGTGCGGTCCCGTGCTACTTTCTAATATTCGTGATTTTTTCATGTTTCTGCCACAATTTCCCACTGAATGAGTCCTAGTTTGATATTTTGAAGTTTATTTCATATAGACGTACATCCCAAATCTACGTTCCCAACCAATATTCTCTTGGGGATTACAAATTAAATGGAACACAAATTTTTCTTTTCTGACCACACTTTGGTTAGGAAAGTTGCCTTGGGGATACACTAATGAGGGGACTACACTTAAATAAATGTCTATGTGGGTAATTATGTGTAAGATGGTTACCTACCCCAGGGTAGCCTAAATACAATTTTTAGGCAAATCAATTGATGAATGGGGTCCGAAAATTAAAAGTTTTATGCGAAGAGGACAAAAAAAAAAATAAGTTAAAAAGCAGTAAGTTCACCCGGGCCGAACTTTGAATACCTCCACCATTTGGAACGAATTTGGAAATTTTCAAAAAATAAAATTCTAACAAAATTCTGTTAAAATTTTAAAAATACCAAATATAGCCGTTATATTGGGGTCCATACGACGTGGACCTACATAGGCATTGTTTGTCATAAGCCATTAACATATTCAAATTCGAAACTTGTATATAGGGAGGTACCGTTATATCGGAGCTGTGCGAAGACCTGCACCTGCATAGACTATTTTCTGTCTTAGGGTGTAGTATCCATTTTGAACTTCAAATACCAAATTTGAAACAATTTCGGTGAATAATGTCGCTAAAATCATCAAAATACCGAATATAGGGTGGGGGCTATACGAGACGTGACCTGCACAGAAAATTTTCTGTCATAGGCTGAAGTATCCACTTCGATCTTCAAACACCAAATTTGAAAGAATTCCGGTGAATAATGTCGCTAAACTCATCAAACTACCGAATATAGAGAGGTACCGTTACTTGGGGGCTATATGAAGACATGGGCCTGCACAGACAATTTTCTATCTTACATTTCGAACTTCAAATATCAAATTTGAAACAATTCCGGTGAATAATGTCGCTAAAATCATCAAAATACGGAATATCGGGAGGTACCGTTATATGGGTGCAATATTAAAACGTGGACATACATGGCTCATTTACGAACTTATCCTGCCTACTGGAAAAATAAACATCTGTGCAAAATTTTAAACATTTATCTCAATTCATTCGAAAGATAGCGGGATTACAACAGACAGACAGACGGACAGATAGACGGACATCGCTAAATCGACTTAGAATTTTACGCTGATCAAGAATATATATGCTTTGTTTGATCTAACATGAGTATTTCGAGGAGTTACAAACGGAATGACAAAGTTATCTATGTTTGGAGGTAAAGCACTCACAAAGAACTCCTTGTGTAGAATTTCAGACAATTCCGTTGAAAAATGTGGCTGAACTCATCAAAATACCGAATATCGTATTGAACTGTTATATGGGGGCTATACGATATCGTGGACCTACATAGATAATTATCTTCCAGTTGATAAAGTACTCACAATGAACTCCTTGTGTAGAATTTCAGATAATTCCGTTAAAAATTTGGCTGAAATCATCAAAATACCGAATATCGGTGGGTACCGTTATATGGGGGCTATACGATATCGTGGACCTATATAGATTATTCTCTTTCAAGGTATAACGTTCTCACAAAGGACTCCTTGTGTAGAATTTCAGACAATTCCGTTGAAAAATGTGGCTATAATCATCAAGATACCGAATATCGGGGGTACCGTTATATGAGGGATATACGATATCGTGGACCTATATAGACAATTCTCTTTCAGGGGGTAAAGTGCCCACAAACAACTCCTCGTGTCGATTTCAGACAATTCTATCAGAAAATGTGGCTAAAATCATCAAAATATAGAATATCGGGGGGTACCGTTATATGGGGGCTATACGATATCGTTGACCTATATAAACAATTCTGTTTCAGGGGGTAAAGTGCCAAAGAACTCCTCATGTGGATTTTCAGACTATTCTAGTAGAAAATGTGGCTAAAATCAAAATACAGAATATCGGGGGGCACATCGTGGACCTATATAGATAATTCTCAGCCAAGGGATAAATTACTCACAAAGAACTCCTTGTGTGGATTTTTTATACAATTCCATTAAAAAATGTGGCTAAAATCATCAACATACTGGATATCGGGGGTACCGTTATATGGGGGCCATACGATATCGTGGACCGATATAGGCCATTTTTGAACTTGACCTGCCTGCAGACAAAAGAGAGATCTGTGCAAAATTTTAGCTTCCTATCTTAATTCGTTTAGACTGTAGCGTGATTACAAGAGACGGACAGACGGACTGATAGGGCTAAATCGTCTTAGAATTTATATTTTTTTTCGTTCGCTCCCACGCCTCTCACACCCGCCCCTGCCGACCGAGGGGGCCACATCTCTATACGTAGAGAGCGCGTACACACCAAAGTCCGGACTAAGGCGGGTTAGCAATGGTTTCGCACCGGCTACAGATACTACATCAGCCAGTAAATAAAATAACAAAAATAACAGACACACACAGATTAATAAACAAAGTTAAGAAGGTACAGATTTTAAAAATCGCTGCTCATTGGCTGTGTCTACTGTACCGCAAAGGGAAATGTAGATCAAGTGCCAGATGATCAAGCAGCTTAGTAATTTATAACAGAATTTCAATCTACTGTTTACAACTATTACTCAAAGGCGAGTTCTACTAGTTCCGCTTGGGGAGATGTAGATAAGATGCCGTAAAATGAGTTTGGAGAATTAAGACAAAGACATGAAACAATTAGTTCTCGCAAACGATAATTTTAAGGGTTCGAAATTACGAGTCCTGCGAGAAGGAACATTATGGTATATTTCACCTATAAGAAATGGAGAATCAATGAGACCGCGTACTAATTTAATGATAAATAGTGCACTTAACATAAAACGTCTTTTTTCAAGTGATGGAAGGTCAATTAACAGTAACTGACTCTCATAAGGAGGAAGAGGTTCGGAAACGTTCCAGTTTAAACCACGTAAAGCGAAAATTAAAAACTGAATTTGTACTGATTCAATTTTATCAGAGTAAAATTTATAAAATGGACTCCACAATATACAGCCATATTCTAATACTGGACGCACTAAGCTAACAAATAATCTTTTAGTTACGTAAGGATCATCAAACTCTTTAGACCTGCGCTTAATGAATCCTAGTAAAGATTTCGCTTTATTAACGCAAGAATCAATATGCAAATGAAACCGAAGCTTAGGATCTAATATTACGCCCAAATTAACGAACGAATCAACATTATCCAATTTTTGGGAGCCAATAAAGTAATTAGATAATAAAGGTCGGGATCTAAAGAAAGACAACTTTTTACATTTTTTTAGATTAAGGGTCATACCATTTGTACTACACCAGTTTACGTGAGTATAAATCATATTGTAAAGAGATTTGATCACTAAGTGAATTTGTGTGAAGAAAAAGCTTCACATCATCAGCGTACATTAAAATTTTAGAAAAACGAACTGCGTTTGGAAGGTCATTTAGGTAAAGAACAAACAGTAATAGGCCCAAGTGACTTCCCTGGGGTACACCTGATGAAACAATGATATTCTTCGAAGAGACATCATTAAAAATAACTCTTTGTGTACGATTATGTGAGTAGGAGGATATCCAGTTTAAAAGTGATGTTGGGAAACCCATTAAGTCTAGTTTTTGAAGCAAGAGCTTATGAACTACCGTATCAAAAGCCTTGCTAAAATCAGTGTAAATAACGTCAGTCTGTTGCTTATTCACAAAGCCTTTTTGAACTTGACAAACAAATTCTAATAGATTAGTAATTGTAGATCTACCTTTCATGAAACCGTGTTGACAAGGTGAAATTATACTTTTTATGTAGT